GATATCAAATGATTTAAATTTTTCCAGAGATAATTCATCATCATGCTTAACTGACTATACCATGACTAAAATTACACAATGCTTATACTATTTATAGAATAACTTGCAGAGGCTAGTACCATTAACTCAAACACCACTAAACAGATACTAAAAACAATTCTGCAAGTAAAGACTATGAACCATTCAGATGCACTAGACCTTTGGAGTAAAAGATGTTTCTCTTAAGTACACACATACACAATGGCATTTACAGCTAGTCAGCTTTTTTTCCAACCTGGCTGTCAGACACTGCTTAGAAGTCTGCTTAGTAAGTGCTGCTTATCAATGTTACCAGTTCTTACCTTGGAAGACTTCAGAATAAAGCCATAACCTCATGCTTTTTCTTTTTTTAAACTCCATACTTGTATTTAAAAACAAAAACAAAAAACAACCAACCAACCACAAATATAATAAAATACTTAAATGTAATATAGAAAACTTCCCATCTTGGAAGTATTTTTTAATAAAGTACCTGGAGTGAAAACCCAGGAAGTCTGCCATTCAACCATCACATGTTATGCAGCCTATGGGATTTGGTCCACTCCCACGCTGAGACATTGTTTGTTTTAGCTTCTTAAAAGTTTTAAAACAAAATTCCTTCTTCAATCACTTTCAAGAGAGTGCACACAAACTAGTTCCACAGTGGGAATCTGCTCCACCCACAAAGGGCTATGGGAAAGCAACTAAGCATCTGGAGGCATCAGGCCAGAAAGGGAAGTAAACATTTACTAAGGCCATCTTCTCTGTGATGATGGTGAAATGGCGAAGAAGTAATAAGAACAGGCAAAGAATTTATATTTTCCAGAGTTCAAAATGCAAGAGAGAGTCAGTCCACATGTTAAAGTATACTCATTGTGCCTTCAGGCGAGTCAATAGCTAATTATAAAGAACAGGGTCACGGTATTTTTCAAAATTAAGAGAGAGATTTGGGACTTGGCTTCAACAGAAAAACAGACACTCTGAATGTACACACTTCCACTCTGGAGAAAACTGACCTGCCGAGTGGATCAAAACATCCTCAGAAATTCGAAAAGGTGAAAATATGTATGTTCAAGGTGTCTATTTTGCTTTTGAAGCCAAATTCCAGATTTGTCCACTGAACTGACATGGAAAAAGATACAGCGTGAAAAAGTGTGAATGTTGGTGGTTTTAAACTAAAAATATATTTGTTTAATAATATTAATAAATATTATTCATATATACTAACATAATAAATATTACTAAAAATAAATATTAATAATAAAATCGGGACCAAACAAAATGAAAGTGAGGGAAGAAATTTTTTTGTTCTTGGAAAGCACCAACAATTTTTAAGTTACTCCCCAAGAGAAAAGTTTAACATTTGACAGTTACATCAACAGCAGAGCGCTGAACTTCAGCACTCAAAACCACTCCCCTAACAACCACACCTAGCTTTTGAGATGAGTAATAGCATTTTTTGATACCTCAATTTCATTTCAAAGTGATACTTACAAGGGAAGAATCCAGAACCGTAAAAGTGTCTATGGCTTAAGTTTTGTTACTTAATTTTCTATGTGACATCCCAGACCCCTCCAGTAGCAATGCTGAGCCTCTGAATATGTGAACAGTATGGCGACAGCAAGTCTCAGCTCTTCTCAGGATCCCATATTATTGCCACAGGGAAACAATGCAGCTCGTGGCACTAAAATCAATATGGCAACGTCCTCCAATCTTCTATATACAGCTGAGCAGCTCTCTGCACTGAGAGCTGGCATAAGCTCCGACCACAAAAATGAGGCACCATTTTCACTGGCCTAAGCACAGGGGTAAGAACAAGTTACTCCAATACTGTATGAATTCTTTCTGCTGGCAAATTCTTATGAAAATATTTGATAGACTGTGCTGTTAACAATTTCTTTTATTGCAGAATAATAACAACGGATATGCTATTTATCAGCCTGGCAGTACTAATGGTTTAAGTTTACTAGTGCAGTAAAAAGAGTTTAATAATTTGCATATCACTGTAATTAATTTTAGTGTTGAAGAATTAGCACTTTACGTAACTGCAGTTTCTTCATGGAAGCATTTTCCAGATATGAGAAGGGGAATAACACTAAAGCCTGGGCATTCTGATAGGGAAAAACTACAGCAAAATGTTTTGTTTGGTAACCTTATTTTCAGAGATGGCAAGCACCCAGATCTGAATTAAACCCAGGTAGGCTGAGAGCACACCACTTTCAAAAATAAAAATATTTAGAAAAACAAGGCATTACTGTTCCAGTCACACAATCTACACAACACACATATTAATTAAAATCTCCCTCAAAAAAAAAGGCACCTTGACCAAGATCAATAAGAAGCACACACCTACTTGCAACACAGGTTGACATCATTAGCTAACAGTTCACAGCACAGCGCACAAAGCTACACCAGCAGCCAAAGGACTCTGCACTGAGCCTTTCTGCGATCATTATCATATGGAAACTCTATTACCCCACACAAAAGAATTAGAGGGTTATTAATGTCTATACTAAGGCAAAGTACAAAAATATGGTAGGGCCTGATGTCCATTCTTTTCCCATTTCTTTGTGCTACTCCTTACTCTCTTCTTGGGCCCATTTTCATTTCAGTATGGGCGTTAGAATAGAATATACATTCTGTATTACATTTCTCTCCTGTTGTTTCATACATGTTATATATACTACAGTAGAAATAATAGTTCTTTTATACTTGCTTTCAACAAAAAAAAAAATCATAGCTGATGTGTCTTGCACAAATAAAGAACGCATAAGGTATTTATAATCAACATAAGTAATTATAAAAAGCCATTCTTTTTCCTTAGGGGAACATACTAATCCAGTTCTATTTTGCCACATGTAATCTTAAATCAGAGGTTGCACTACTCCTTTAAGAAATAAATTCAGATCAGACAACTAAAAATGTTAAATAATTCCTTTCTTCAACATTTTCCCCACATTGAAATAGAACAGAGAAGTTTCAAGGCCCATTTTTGGCAAGTTACTTAAAAATAAAACCAACACACATGAGAACAATAATATAGTAATCAAAGCAGATAAAAAACCCCCAAACTGGTTCTATTACTGCCAAAGGAGGATGGGGGAGAGGAGCCATTTTAGGAGCTCTAACTCTTTAGTGCAAGAACACAGCAACCACTTGCAGAATCCATCCAACTTGCAGTCAGTTACTCCCCACCACGTGCCTTATTTAGAGCATCCTCACCTTCCCATAGCTAGAAAGCACAAGAAAAACAGCAATCCATACCTCCCACAAGAAAGACTTTATTAACCTATCAAATTACAAATTTTACTTGCATCTTTTTGCCTTCTTTTTAAACAACAACAACACAAAAATAAAACCTATCCAACTTGGAACTTCTAATATACTACTAATATACAACTACCTTTCCTGGTCAAGAGGCAGCAAACATTTGTACAATGCACAGTTCCACTGCACACCTGCAGTCAGATAGTCTGCAAGAGCCAAGAAGAAAATTTGTTGGAAGTTGTTCTGTAGCTCTCAGAAGAAAAGGCTAAAGAACAATAAACAATGGTTATTCACCAGAAAGTACACAAGGGCAACCCCATACCAACACTGATCTCACAAGCATGACAACAAATAAATTCACCTTCCCCTTAGTGCTCTAGAAGAATGAGCATGCAATCATTGACCTTAATGTAGGAAAAAACCCCTGCAATCTAAGCACCTTCATCATTAAAACTTTTAAAAGGTAGACAAATACTGAAATCCCTGAGGATAAGCACTTTCTCGTATAACTCCACAAAAAAAAAAAAAAAAAAAGCCCACACAATTCCCTGGATATGCATAATTACGAATACATCATTGCCCTTTTCTAACAGAGTGTTTTCCCAGGGAAACTCATCTGCTCTCTAAAAAAAGACAGCTCTGGCATAGTCCCATGGCTTGGTAAGCACCTATCCTTGAAGATCCTGCACATCTCTCTAGTACTCCTATTTCTACATTATGACCAGCCTCTACTTACATTTCTTGCTCTTTCACCCCTTCCCATAAATTCCATACACTAAACACTGTCCTTTCAATCCCATCTTTCAAGGTAAGCATTGCCTACTGTTTTTCTGACATGCACACAGTTCTGTAACCTGTTCCAAGGGGAAAAAAATACTTCCTTGTCCATTATTCCTCTGAAACCAGAAACAAATAACCTTTCCATAACAAAAACCTTCAGGGAAAGCTTAGCTTCCTCCTGCACAGGTAAATACCATTTTGAGAGAAGAGATGTCATTTTGTCTTTTCCAGCACAGGAACAAACTGTCCACGCCAAGTATCCTGACCTCAACCTCCTGAAGCGCCTTTTTGCCACACGCACAGGGTGAATACAGCCCTACCTTACCTCCCGTGGCCAATTCGCCTGCCCAGCCGAGGGGTGCCTACCTGGACACAAGCAGCACCCTCCTCCTCCTCCTCCTCCATCCCCCCTTCCCCAGACAGGGAGACCCTTCCCCACCCCACTGCACGCCCAGGCTGAGCCCCCTTCCTGGCAGCAGCGAGCAGCGCGTCCTCCCTCCTTGTGCGCGCTGGGGAGCCGCCCTTGCTCCCCATTAAGCACATTTACAGCCTCCTAACCACCCGCGATGCCCCCCTTCCTCCTCGCAAGGCCTTCCCGACCCACCTCTCCCAGCCAAGCTCCCCGCTGGGCTCTCGCCGCCCGCCCTCCCCTCACACGGCGGCTCCCGCCGCCTCGCCACAGCCGGGGCACGGCTCTCTCCAGGCCCCACAGGCCTTTCCGCCGGTCCCCTCTCCGTGCACGCCCCCGCCCCGCGCCGCCCCGCTCGCCCGGTCCCGGCCGATCCCACCTCCCCACCGCCGCAGCCCGGCAAGGCCGCCTCGCCCAGGCCGCTGCCCCCCCCGCCCCCCGGCCGGCGCGGCTCCGCGGGCGAGCTCGGGGCTGGGCAGGCCGCGGGCCGGCCGGCTCCGTGAAGCGAGGCCGCCTCCCCCTTTACCGTCCGTCGCGGGGCTCGGGCCGGGCTGGGCCATTGCTCCGGCGGGCGGGCGGCGCCGCCGCGGCCTCCTCCGCCTCCAGCCGCGGCTTCGGAGCGGGAACCGCTACGCCAGGGGGCCCCGGCGGGAGACGGGAGCTGCCGGCCCGGGCCTCCGCCTCCTCCGCCTCATCCTGACAGCGGCCGCCGCCGGCGGGAGGAGGAGGAGGAGGAGGACGAGGAGGAGGAGGAGGAGCGCCGCGCAGGCGCCCACGGTGAGACCACGGGAGCGGCCGCCGCCGGGGCTGGGGGGGCCGGGGCCATACGAGCCGCGGCGGCGGGGGCAGGGGCAGGGTTGGAGGGGCCTCCTCCGGGCCCGCTGCCGCCGCCCGGCCCCATGCTGAAGGTGCTTTGTCACCCAAGGGCCGAGCGGGGAGGCAGAGCCGGGCCGAAACCTCCGCCCGTGACGGGCAGGGCCGGGACGGGCCGGCGGAGTTGCTGCTGAGGGGCGCCCACCGCGCTTCCCGCCGCCCCGAGTTCCCCCCCCCGGGGCCCGGCCGCCTGCCCCCTCAGCCTCGGGCCCGGCTGGCCTCCCAAGCCAGGGAGACATCGCTGGGTCTGCTCTCAGGCTAGGCTAAAACTATAGTTAGTATTATTTATTCGGGTAGTTGGTTAAAGTGGCACCAACAAAATACTGCTCTGCTGTGTGATGCAGGGAGGGCAGCAGGTGTGACCACAATGGGTGGCAGACGGAGCCTGGCCACCACGGGATCTCTTTCACAGCTGGGAGCCAGGATTTCATGGTGTGTTGTCCTGTTTTGATGGAGGTTATTCATCCTTCCACCTAACAGGGAGATCAAACTCCAGCTTTTTACCAATAAAAAAGTAGAGTTACATCTTTTGGGCATGTGTAAAATCACTGAAAGCAGTATTGGGGTGGATAGGTAGGATACCAAGTCCTCCCAAGGGCAGGATCTGTTACAGCTTGCCTTTCTTACGGCTTGTATACCCTAAAAATCAGACATTTTTAAACTGGGTCTCACAGGACTTAAACCTTCCCCCCACTTGTTGCCACAGTTTATCAGGCCTTGCTATCAAAAAAGGTGGTATGGCAAGACATGAGATTCTGCATTTCGTATTAAATTCCTGCTCAGTTAAACCAAACTTGAAATAGGGAGTCTTTGAAAATTAATCCTTTACGTTTTGCCTATTTTAATCAATTGAGGTAGATTTTCTCAGTCTTTGTGGTTGTAAAAAGCAAGTTTAAACTAAAGACTTAACTTCTAAGTGTTCCCAACTTTAGGCATGTAGAGCTTTCTTTTCATAGGTATTTGGAGAACCCAGAGCTGCAGATTGTTCACAGAATTCCTGGCTTGGTGACAAAATGGTCAAAGAACTAACTATCACTTGAGGTAAATTTCCAAATTTCTCAGCTCCTGCTTAGGCTTTTTGAGAAGTAGCTGGATATTATAAGCATTCAACACATAATCCTTTTGAAAATCTAGTCCTAACTATGAGAACTGAGCTCTTGAAACTCTGTCCTTGTATGTGCGTGTATGAGTACCCCAAACTACCCATATTAGCAGCTACTTTGATTTTGTTCATGTCAAGGCAAAACTCCCACATGTTTTGATTGGTCTGGGATTAAACCCTTATGCATCAATCCTGCTGCAAACAGAAAGTAAGATAATATCAAGCTTGATATGTTGTACCTACAGGTGCTTATGAAGGAGTGAATATCATAATCCATCACTTCCATTGCCAAAATATCGACTATTAGAATTGCAACATTTCAAAATCTGCATCAGAACTCCTGAGTTTATACATTAAATAGGATTTATACAGTCATTTGAAGAATATGAAAACTCTCAAGGAGGTCATACTATTTTTTTTCCTTCTTGTTCTCCATCTAAACCTGTGCTAAATTTATAGGTATGGTTCGTTCTTAATCTTTCCTTCTTTTCCTGGACAGTAACTGAACTTGACAGAGGCAAAGGTTTATGTAGTATCTAGTCCCAGTGTCTTGAAACCTGCAGTTGGGTAACTTCCTCTGTGCCCTCCAAAATGTCCCATCTAATTCTAATCCTTTATAGTTCTTATAGCCTTGATCTCAAAGGGTTTTCCAGCATGACTCAGCTAAACCTTAAAAGAGGTAAGCAAAGTTTAACAGTGGTTTACAGTCATAGAAACAGGTCTGTTGCAGTGGCAGAACCAGCAGAGACCAAAAGTCTTAAATTCCAATCCCCATGCTGTAGATGTTGGATAAGTGCAGTATTAATGAATCAGTGGGTCATGGATCGGATCTAGAGAGCTACAGGTGGGCAGAGACTACTTCTGGAATAAGCTTTTTCAGAAATAATAACAGTCCTATAATCCCATGCATTTTTATCAAATATATTTGGCCTGAACATCTAACGAGCATTTTCAGCATCAGTACCACAAGCAGCAGACACAAGTTAATGGAAAATGCATCTTCCTGGAGAGTATGTGCTGTGTTAGTACAAGCTGGAGGAGTAGCTGTCACCTTGCACTCTGCCTGAAATTTAATCTTGCAGGCTTACTGAAAAAGATAAGTTTGCAGCTTTTGTTTAAACAATAACATCCAGTGACAAGCAGTAAGTGTGTACACTCGGTGGTTGTCTGTAGACTGGGAGTAAACTGAGGGGGATTGTGGTTGTTTGATTGCAAAGAGCATAGTGATGTAATTTATATAACACATCTAGGAGAGAAGGAGTATTTTCTTTTTGCCTGAGGAAAAGAAAACAAATAAGTAGCAAAAGAGCTAATTAAATCTGTTTTCCTTATAGATCTGTCTTCTGGTTGATTGACTTCAGTGCATATGAATGCTCAAGTTCCAAGTGAAACTCCTCCTACTTTTTTTTTGAACATGTAGAAAGATTTTTCTGTTTGTGTGGCTTTTTTTTTTTTATCTTTTTTTTCTTTAATTGGGGCACTTTAACCTCAACTGAAGCATCTATTTTCATTAGGCTTTGAAGAATGTAATGATCTCTGTCTTTATCTGTGAAACTAGTCCCAGATCCTAGGTCTGGTTGAGTTACCCTGGCTGTGTCCCAACAATGTATGTAGTACAATTATGCACATTGTACTACCACTTGTCACAAAGTACACAGCTTTGGGAGAAGTCACTGCACACTCCATCAAGTCCCTTGGTGTGGATGATCAGAGCACCAGGGCTGTGATCAGACTGATGAAAAGCTTTGTATTCACAGAAGTGAGGCTAATAAAACACAGAGCTAATTTCTTCAGTTTTGAATGGTACAAGATACTCTTGTTTTATACAACAGCTAAACTGATTCTACAGAAAACCAGAGTATTTAAAAAGATAAACTAAAGTTCTGGACTTGCAAGGCCAAATCTACATCTCGTGTGAATTCAGTGGAAACAGGCTGATGTGTGGGAAATGAGAAGCGGGCCTGTAGCACAGAATCAAAATGGAGATCAAAAAGACACTCTGAAGTGTGCTGTTTCCCATTTATGTTGCTTTACTGGCCTACTGGCCACAAAGAAGTTTGAATCCATTGTGCCATGTATGGAAGGAGGATGTAGTGAATTATAGGCCCTGCTCCCCAGTGTAGTTCATCTCATAAACCACCCACTGTTTAATTCAATTCATCCAAGAAAGCTGAGTAACAAGGTAGCTTCGGGAAGTGGCTGTGTGGGTTGCCAAAACTAGACTCCACTGCACTTGTAGAGGAGGAAAATTGCAGAACTGACGACCCTCTGCCTGAGCAAGCAGAACTAATTTTAAGAGCAACAGCTCATCTATCCCAGATTACCTGTAGGTGTTACACAGTGAAGATTTTGGCAACAGTCTGCTTCATTGGATAAACCATGAAGTGACATTGTCTTTAGATGAATGCAACAAGAATGGTTTGAATGTGGAGAGTAAACGTATGACCAGGAAAAACTGTGTGCTCTTAATTCCAGGTGAAGCCCAGAGAAACAGAAGTTGCACACATCTTTAAGGTGGGACTCAGCTGCTCATGACAGCAAGCCTTGGGTTCATTCAAAAGGCAAGTAATGGACTTGTCCTTCTAGGAAAAGAGGAAAACCAGAATTTATTGTTTGCACTTTATATGTTTGTAGGCTTGCCAGAGTTTGTCTACTGTTTTTCTCACTTTTTTATTTGTTTAAAATAAAAAACTGTTCAGAGTTCCCTAATGTTTAAATGTTTATTTTTATTTTGTTGAGATTGATGGGTCATTAGCATTAAGTATTAGTTCTGCAGATACGTGTGCTTGTAGGCTTTGGTCCTTCCTTTTTAATGCAAAGCTTTTGGAGAAAGTTTACATTCATATAAGTATTACCATAAAGAGGTTGGTTAAAAATCCCAAACCAGTCATGCTCTTTGCTTCAAAAGTTATTCTGGAATGCAAGGAATTCAGTCTGGAACAATTACATTATTTGCAATGGTAACTTCTTAGCGAACCCTGGAATAGTTTATGTGGTTAAAAACCTTTTCAAGAGCAATTGAAAAGTTATGTTATCCCATCTATTGTTTAAAGGATTCCATGTGGTACGGTTCTTTGAATATATGGGAAGCAAATGAAGCCAAAAATGAAAATTTGGCAGGCAAAAATCAAAGTGCTTGCATTGGCCCTAAATCTAGATGTATGCGCATTAATGATCTCATTTGAAAGATGTCTGTATTAAGATTTGAAAGCTCTCTGGGTCCCCAAGGGGCAAGCTCATTGAATATTGTGATGTACCATGAAACTAAACAATTTTTCTTACTGCAAAGTAACCAAGGAATCAGAAACTCATTCTGTATGCATAACAAAGGACGCATTAAGAGCATAGTCTTTTGGGTAGCCTTGCTCAGCAATACTTCATTAGAATTGTCATTGCAGGGAGGCACAAAACCAACACTGCCTTGTACTTACACATTCCTTCATTGGAAGATCTAAAATATGCTATAACCCATTCAAACACACTATACCTGTATCAACAAAGTTATCTGCACCTGTCTACAGATACACAGAGAAGGCTGCACAGGGCTTCAGCAAATATTTTGGCAAACATTTCCATAGTGGTTTAAACTACTGGTGCCCTACAGCCTGCTCTGCGGTTGTGTTCGAGACAGCTGGTGTGGTGAAGTGGAGAGAGTGGAGTGTAGGACTGTGTGTAGCCATGCAGTGTTTACCCTTAGTCCAAATGTGCCTTCATCAGTGTCAGTGATTTAAGTAGCGATGCTGGATTTTGTATTGCTGAAGTTGAAGTGTGGACACACACAGTCCCTCCTGCCAGCTCTATTATTGTAGCAGGATTTTATAAGAGAGGAGAGAAGGCACCAGCAAGGCCCATGTCAGTCACCACACATTCATCAGACCTCAACCAGTACAGCCCAACGTGATCCAGCAGCAGGGTCAACAAGGATAACGGGACCCCAGAGAGAACTCTTGTTTTTCACTCTGTTCATGAGATTATACTTTTCTTTAAAAAAACTAAAATAACAACAGAGGCTTCTGCTTTTTGAGGCTGTTTTGCATGTAACTATTTCATGTAGTAGTAGTTTTCAAAACAACAGACCATGCTAGCAGTAGCATCTCATGCATTCAACTTCCTAATCTTGAGAAGACCAGTTCATTAACATCAGTAAGGTGAGTCACATCAAATCTGCAGGACTGGGACATTTATCTCATTTTCTTCCTCTGAGGAAGAAGCAGATCATATATCCTATAAATTCTAATGACTGCAATGCCCACTTGCCAAGAGAAGGAGGGCGTGTAAAATTCATTGTCCCATGTGTGTTGTATGAAATGGTGTAGCCAAAAGATTTCCATGTTAAGGCTTAAACAGCAGTGCTCATTTTGGAGTGTTTTATTAATCCAACCACTGTAAAGGCTCAATGTGTCCCTGTCAGAACTGTCTTTGGAGTTATTTAGAAGAACATGATACCCAAGAAGACCGAGCAGTCTTTGTGCAAACAATGGACCAGACAGCTGAAGAGATGCCACAGGATTTCAGAGAACCACCAAATGTTTGCAGATCCTCAATCTGAGCGAGCCCACCCTTCTGTTTAATCCAGGTAGGATTGCTGGAAGCTCCAAAAGCAAAGCTCGAGGCTTTCCTCCAGGTGGGACTCTTCAGTGATTGGTGAGCTTTCTCTGGGGCTCTACCTGTGCCTCTGTATCCAGAGGTGGACCAACCCAAATATTTGTTAATACAAGTTTAAATACCACATTTTAGGTCAGTGGGTACACCCAGCTAGTCCAACTGTTTCTCATCTGTTCATCCAATCCCTATGAATCCTTTTATTCCCTATTTTCCCTGATTCCTCCTAGGTGTTACAGCGGTCCCTCTGTTTGCTTCTTTATTAGAATGCCTTTTCCAATATTTTATGCTTCTATACTACCTTTCATTGGAGGAAGAGCCCTTCAGTAGAGCCAGAAGAGAAGAAATTATCTCAGATTTACAGGCTGGGAAAACCCAGAGAGATCTCCTGATTTGCCTGGGGATATGCAAGTCAACAATAGTGGAAGGTAAAAACAAATATGTATCTCATATATCTCTATAACTTTTTTTTTGCCAAAACTTATATTTTCTTTGCTTATTCATCACACCTTTAAAAATATCAAAAAGCTATTGATCTTTGAAAAATAGCTGAAGACAAACACCTGTTGCAAAATGAGTATTACTTATCAGGTAAAAAGAACAAATGAACTCATTTTCTGTAGAATCTCTGTTTTACTCTCAAAAATGTTTGCTGCTGAGATATGCTTTCCTGCCCTGCTCTTTGACCATTCATGCAGCATTAAGAAGCGCCCTTCTCATCTTGAGACCACAGGAGGTTTCACATTATGTTGTTAACCTCCTTCAGATCATCTCTTCCATGCACAATCTGAGTTACATTTACATGCAGACATAATGTCATTCAGCCTACTTTACCACTTACATCTCTCTTGTTGCTATGGGGAACACTGATAAGGAGCAAATTAGCTAATATTTGAGGAGGAATGTGAAAGCCACTATTTGGTGGATTTGTGTGTAATAGGCAGTGACATTTTATTTGGCATTTGTCCTCACCTAGCTGAGCTCCTTCCACTGCAGCTTCTAGCTAAATTCTGTGTAGTCAAAACATGCTCTTCCCAAAGGATTTAGAAGCTTGGATATGTAACTGTATCTGACCCTGGGGAATTTTTACAATTCTCATGAGAAGAGGGACTGCTTTAGAAGTGCTTTTGCTGGCATGGAAGTGCAAAGAGCACCATCCAGTGTCTAATCAGAGTAAATACACAAAAACTCGATGGCGTTGGTACAAAGGCATCTCTGCACATCTCATAGTCAAGCTACAGCTGGTGGGGTGCGTGATGATCTAAATAAAAAGAGGCTACAGTCAGTTATAGAAGGAACTTCTATGGGAAGATTGGCAAAGTTGTCAACCTTTCAGGAAGACCTGAGACAACTTGGCAGATTACATCTTTTAAAGAAAAGCTGTATTCTGAGTTTGAGTTATTGACGATTGAGGGAGCAAAAGACAGAAGCAGAATGAAGTGGAGGTGGCCATAGATGGGGCTGGACAAGGAGAGTATGCAAATTAAATCCGAGGAGGGACAAAGCTACGGCAGAGAGAAAAAACTGGGCCATATCCTTATCGTGTAATCCTTCCCCTTTGTAGAGTGGAATCTGCAAAAAGGGGCTAGGAAATTTCACTGACAGCTGAAAAAATAAGGGAGAAGTTACTTCAGTTTCCACTGCTGAGTCTTAACAGCCTTGTATTGCTTAACAAATGTAGGTAGTCCTGGATTGCAAGAAGGAAAATTATTTGGAAAAAGATTTTGCACAGAAGTGTGCAATATGTAGTAATTCTTATTACATATGGCTGCAGGCTTTTTGTGGGCTACAGAGAATGAACTGACAGGAGAACAAGGAGTCCATGTGGCTAAAAATGGGCAGAGGCAAAAATTAATATTATCTGCAAAGAAGTGATACCCAAATAGATGTCCAAGAAAAAGCATTAAACTTTTCCATGGACTAGTAGTTGTGCAACAATCTGTGGAAACTCTAGGTAAAGAAGGAAACAGGAATGTTTGGTATATTATGAACAGGATATTTATTAATCAAAGATGCAGAGTGCTCCAGTTTAGCCCGATGTCTGTAGTAACATATCACTAATTTATCCTCCCTAGGATCAGACTTTGGGCTGGTATAATGTAGAAATGCTGTAATCCAAGACAGCTCCTCTGTTGCGTTCAGCATTCCCAGGAACAACTTAGCATGTGTTTGCTCTTACTCTTTTTATATTGAACTTGCAGAGCAGAACTCAATTCTTTGATTAATATTAAGCAGTGTTTTGTTTGTGCCCTGTGGTAGAAGTGCCCAGATGGAGTGGTTTGAATACTGAAAACACGAGAAACTTTTAATGTTCTATGGAGCTCTGTTAAAGTTGTCTGAATAGAACATCTGGTATCAAATCTTCAGATAAATCAGTTTCTTCAAGTATTTGGACCTGCTCTGGGTCTGTACTTTGTTCCAGCTTTACATTCCCTCTCTTGCTTCCCTGTTTCTAGCGCCAATAGATGATAGTTTATGGCCTGGTGCAACCCATTAAAGTCCCTTTGTTGGGGCTTGGCAATTAGTTGAGAAGAAAGAGTATAAAAATCACTTTGGCATCTGTGGGGTTGAAATGCCAACACTGACTTAAGATCTCCCTGAAAGGCTTTTTATCTGTCCTCAAGGTGATGGAGAAAGAAGGAAGAGTGATCAACCAGAGGCTTAGGGAAGATACTGCCTGATGTGCCTGCAGAGTGTAACCCTGTTGGAGAGTTTTTGTCTGTATAAAACGTCTTTGACCCCCGTAGGGACCCAGTGTGGATACATCCATGCGAGACCTCCCTGCCAGGGGAAGTGAATGGTATCCCACTGCTCAGCACTGACAGGTCCTGCTGCCAGTCCTGCTTTATGTGCAAGGAAAACTCCTGCAGAGTTGAAGAGCAAGAAGGAGAAATGGGAGCTGTTGTCATGTTGTATGACTGCTGCCACACAACAGATGGAAGTGCCTGTACTGAAGAGGTCCACAGCCCCAGTCTTCCAAAACACACACCACTGCTGGGCACAGTGAGGAAGGGCAGGCTCACATGGCTTTCACTTCCATAACTGAGACAGCAGAGGCGAATCGAGGGCTGATGCATACAGACCACCTAATTTAGAGGTGTTTGAGGTTAACTCCTTTCACTTTAGGAAGTGTTTCAGCTAAGAAGGGCTGAGCATACAGAGCTCCCATTACCCTTCCTGGGACTTAGGGCACTTGGCTCCACTCTTGGGCAGATTTTCAGATGTTTTCAGATAGGTGTTGCGAGTCGCCCAAATTTACCTGTGCAGAGGTGCTGACTCTGGGAGCTATTAAAGAAGCCATTAAAGAGCATCAAATGAGAATTCCTAAATTGCATTCAGAATACTGTAAAGCAACTGTTTCACCTCTAGTAACCAAGAAAAATGTCTCACAATGTAACATTTTATGTTATTGATAAGATACTTTGAGTTATATTCCTCGTCTTGCTATGTTTAAAGGACTGATTTTCTTCTGTCTTGTTTTCAGGCTTGATATGTCAAGCAAACTTCAGTGGAGTTATTCTTGCCTCACACTAATGGTAACAGGAAAGAGAAGCAAGTTATTCATGTTTAATGTTATTTTGTGCCAGATGTTTTGCTGGTAAAAATCCATAGCTCCACAGGCACCAATTTCTTCAGGATCTGGAATGTCTGGCCCAATTTCTTTCTCCATTCTGGACAGTCTGTGAAGGAAACTGCTTTATTTTGCAATATTGAATATTCATGCTGGGAAGTTATAAGCAAAAACAAAATAATGAGAGACAGGATCTCTAATAAGCTTCCTGTCACATGAGGCTCTGGTTCTCTTGAATGTGATTTTAAGATGTGGTTGCTGACTTGTTTCCAAAATGTTTGTTGAGTGGTGATTAGATTGTGTCATGCTGATGTTATCTCTGTGATCTCATTCAATACAAGTAGTTCTGCAAACAGTGAAATCTTTTTTCCTATGGATTTATACATTGGCTTGTGTTTCGGCATGGATCCTCTGATATTTAATGGGGATTGAGTTAATTTTAGCCTGTTTGTTCAATGAGAGATGAATAATCTGTCTTCTTTACTTGGCCATTTACTTTCACAAAACTTGCAGGAATTAAATATCTCAGAGTTGTAAAATCTGAGTGGGAATTATGAACCAGTTTCAAAGTTATTTGGGGCCAACTCATGTAAACATACATGAAAACGAGTCTCATTTTCTTACAAAAGCAAAAGGTAAGTATATTTTTCTTTAATATTTTCTCATTGTCTATCACCTGCTTCATTCTATTATGTTTTATTTGTGATCAATCATATAAGATATGCTTTATTTGTAAAGCTGTATGAAATATGGGAATTTTTTTGCCACATTGAATTCATATTAGAACATCATTAATTTATACTTGTTATGGGCCACACAAGAGATTACATTATTTTTTTAGTGTCCTTGCTGGAGCATGGGAAAGAGGTGACATGCATTTTAATTTACATGTTGGCACAGAGAAAAGAACAGATTGTTTTTCCTTTAGAATTAGACCTCACCAGTTTGGAAAGGAACAAAAGAAACCTAGAATTGAAAATGACCTTTTGGGGTTGTTGAGTCCAGTATTCTGCTTCTGCAGTGAGCCAAGTTCCCATTTTTTTTCATAAATAGATTGTGCTATTCAAAAATAGGCTCCTTCCTCCTTGTCATGTCTCCTATCCTCCCAGTTTCCTACTTTATTTGGGCACTTGCTCCAGAATTTCCTTCTTTTGATAGGGAGAAACCTTCCAATTTCCATGGCCAGTTTATGCATGTTCCAGGAATGTCCCTTAGGTTGTTTAGTTCTTTTCTAGACCAACTAAACTGAAACTGTGCACATGCTGTGCTGTGCCAAGTCCAGTAAAGGAGGCAGGAGATAGTCTTCATAGCCTGCCCTTCACTTATTTCCCTCATACTTTAGCCGTTAGGAGCAAATTCTTCAGGCATTTTTCGTGATATGTCACATTAAGCAAAGAGAAAGTTCCTGTGGATCATAGATAATTTGAGGAACTAGTCAAGTGAGAAGAGTGGTAGGAAGGTTGGCAGTAGTCTCAGTTCAGTGACTATAGGAGGATGATCTGTTGCACGGCCTAAGAGGGGGTCATATGAAAATTAAGGATACCATGAAAAAAAGTGGGGAAATCGTAACCATTTTAACTTGTTTGTACTAAATAAGAGGCCTGAAGTCTTTCCCTGTTCCTTCTATGTTCATCTTTCAAATGTGGATAACATCCAGTCAAGGCTTTGTGTAGTTTGACAGGGGTTTCTTGGGTTCTGACCTGGGAACCTGTAAGCTTCCTTGAGTTTCATGTGAAGGGTCAGGGTTCTGTACGTTCAGCAAAGCTAACTTTTCTTTCATGTCCTTCTTAGTGACAATAAAAGTCCACCTTCATTTTATTAATTTTACTTTTATAACACATCTGATTAACCTTATAATCATCTCTCTGATTAATAACCCTACTAGCTGTTCAAACTCTCTGCTTATTATTTACATTGGAAATGTAACTTTTGCTTCATCTAGATTAAGAAATGGTTATAGAGGTATTACAAAATGTCAGCAGGATTTAAGAAAAAATCTTTTAAAAAATGACAGTTGCTTCTTTCAAGCCTCCTTCATACATTTTAAGTTACAAAAAGTAAAGAAAAATGACACCTGTCCAATTTTCTGCTTACATCTTGAGAACAGTTCTGTAAGCAAGACAACTCTGGAAGTATCTCAATGTCTTTTTAATCTTCTGCAAGTTTAATTTAGTTTGCTTGATGTAAATGAACAATTAATTTGAAAATGAAAAGCATGAAGACGGGGGGGCAATAATTCAAGAGGTAGAAGAAGTAGATGAGACAGAAGTAGATTAGACAAAATTTAATGTGTTCAGCTTCACTTGTGCCGATGTAAAAGGTGGCATCTGTTTATGGTTAAAGAGGAGCTATCATGTGGAAGCAGAGCAAGAACTAGAGATCAGGGCTCACTCATCTATTGCATAGTAGCCAGATTTCTTCATTATATTTAATAATGGCACATTAAGCCCTTGGATCTGTGAAGGGTCCCAAGAAAGATGGCAATGGCAATTTTAAACCCAAATTTTAGGCCTGTGGTTGTTCTTGCTGCAGAGCTTTCCTTTAGGAGACCTTGTCAGCTAGAACCAGTGTCTGTGTTATGAAGTGACCCACATTTCGGTGCTAAGCAGCCATGCTTGGATGCTGGGTGCAGGGGCCTGCTTCAGATTCTTTAGATGTGAATGATTTCTGAACAATGCTCATCCTGGTCCCCAAGAAAACATATCAGCAGCCAAAGATAACTGGAGTGGAATCTGGCTAAACTCATCATCTTCCACATTGGTCCCCTTCCTCCTCCGAGCCTCACCCTGTCCCAGGGGTCTGCAAGGGTGTGTGTGGCAGGCAGCCATCACCCAGGAATCTCCCCTGTGCCTGGCAGATTAAGACTGGGAGGGATCTTTCCTGTTTTCTGGCCCTTTTCAGGACTGACAAAAGGAAGCCAGACATAGCCTGGAACTTATGCCAAAGTCTTCCAAGTCTTTGTTAACTGGCAGGATAATGGATATTGGCCAGTGGTGTCTGGGTGTAAAAGAAAAAGGAAATCAGATGGAGTCTCAAGAGTCTAACAGGAACTGCAGATGGTTGGGGATGAATGTCCTGAATTCTTTTTTTTTGGTATATTAAATTTTAATAAACGATGTAACAAAGAGCAATCCACAGCCACATAGTTTATGCTCATGTCACCAGAACAGAAGCATACACTCATTTCTGCTCCCCACACAAGTGCTGTTAGTGGTTGCTTTGCTGTGTTATTCCACCTTCATACCCGACTTTGTTATCCTGGCTGTAAGGATGTACTGTTACCGGTGTATCAGCTTGATTATCTCTACCTGTCCCTTCTTAAGACATTGACCATTTTCAGCCACATCTGATAGAATGAGAGAAATCTCGAAGTCAGGAAATTCCTAAAAAAATCATTACTATAGGTAGCCATGTCTGTATAGAGAATAAGGTAGGAAGACCCTTCGAAGACAACAGAAAATCTATACTTAAGACACAAGTCTGTTGGAAACTGGGCTTCAACAGCACTTAGCAAAAAATTATTATCTAATACTACTAGGTTTTTCTGGAATTGGCAACTGAATTATTTAGTAATGAAAACTGCATGTGTATCTCTGGCTTCTGTGGGTTCATGGTATAGAAAACCGTAGGAGCATCTGTAGGGATCACAGCTGCCCAACTTTGTGTCATGGTCCCTGTGTCTTAACAGGACATAGAAATTCCCATTTAGCTGAGTAGAGAAGAAGACATGGAGTGGCAAGTTTTAGCTTTTATTGCTAATACTTTGTAAAATAACCTTTATGGTCTGAAGATTCAGACCTGTGCAGATCTGTGTGACCTAAGATTTATTACACCACTACCATATTTGTACATCTCACTCCAGTTCCTGGATATGAAAGAAATGAAAGGTCCAAAAGTTCAGCTTTATGTTAATAGATCCAGATATACCCAATATTTAACTTCCCTGGACAGAGGAACTGCATCAAAGGCTGGCTTGTCCTGTTATGTTGTGAAGGTGTCAGCACTGTGTGCTGCAAAGCTTCACATAACCTTGGGGAAAAAATAGAAAAAAAAGCCAAGTGTATGCTCAATGGAAAACAGATGGAGTTTTCATTAGATATTACTTTTAATGATCTGCTTTAAAAATAAAGATACACCATTCTGAGCAGAAGAAGGCCTCCTAATAGTTTTGTTTAGGTCCCAGGCTCATTATCTTAGCTACAGATAAGCGAGACTGCAAGATCTTTGTATCGTTAGGAGTTCCAGTCAAACTTGCCTACCATTATTACAATTCCAAACACAGCAAAACAATTTTGGAGCCTTAACAATATTTTTCCCTAAGATGTATCTTTATTTAATGATTTAGAGTTATTATTATGGGCCTGGCAGTTGGTTGCTCAGTTTCTGTAGTATTACCATTTAAGCTAGATCAGAATAAAAATCCAGGAATATTCATTGCAGGGCAGACCTTTTGCTTCTTTGAGGGCCTGGTCTTCAGTCAGCTTTGGTGTGACTCCTCCACATGGTCTTAGTGGCTGTGAGGGGTGACCCCAGCAGTCTAGAAAGCCTAAAGATCCTTCCTAAAAAGATGAACCCTGCAATGTGTGCCTGTAGGTATTAAATCAACTTTTGACAAGTAAAGAACAATGCAGTCCCAGGGTTTTAGGAATAGATGGTTGCTGCCAAACCACAATAAATGCTTTTGTCTGGAACTCATGGAACAGTAACATAGCAATGGAGGGTGTACCCTTGTCTGTTCTTCCCTCTGAGCAAATTCTCAGAGACATGTTACCAGGATTCAGATAGATTTCATGGAACTAGTAGAGAAATAGGCTTTCATTTCCTTACAAAGGGAGGAAGACACAATGGAACTCAGCAAAACATATGGCATTTTTTTTGTTCCTGTCTGAGAGTTATGCAAGCAAAACCCATTGCCATCCTCAGGCAGTACTCTCTAAAGTGAGACTCGTGAGAAGATTTACGTTACGTTTCTTTTGTTATGAGGTGACAAAAGTGCTTTACTTCCTCTGCATATGTATAAATACAACCCGTGTCTTCAACTCATCTCCAGATGGAGAGCATGAATCAGAATCCAAGCTTCTCAAAGTTCAAGGAAGTTTGGAGCTGATGTTCTAGTTCACTGTTACCTCTGTAGAAAATACCCACATAATTTAAAAATACCTTCATGAATAAAAAAGAAATAAGCCTCTTGTTTTCATAAAAGAAGAACTAGAAGAATCCAGTCCATTGACACTCTATCACAAACTGTTAATTAAGCACCATTCTGAAACCAAGTAGCTTTTTCCCAACTCTGTTAGAAAACTTTGATTTTCAGGGTAGAGTTATTAATGACTAGTTTGTTCACATATATTATTGTGCCAAAACTATCTTTTAGTTTAGATTATACACAAATAGAGCGCGAGCCTGAATATTAGGTTTCTCCTGCTTTTGTCTCTTTCGGGGTAAAAAAAAAAAAAAAAAAGAGAGCTTGAATATAAGGTCACCTTGTATTCAAGATCAAATTATTTCCTCCTGCAATTCAAGGGTGGGGGGATGGGGCGAGAATAAGCAAAAGGAGCAGATGATAAGAGAGTATTTTATATTTAGGTTTGTATAACTTAGAATGGTCCAGCCTTTTAGCAACAGCATCCCTGCTCTGATTTCTCCTGTTAGAGCCAAGTAAATACTTGTTTCTTTTTTTGTGATACATTTGCAGAAATAAAGCACGTGCCCTCTCTCCTGATGTTGCTAGAGTGAAAAAACCAAACACTTCTGATACAATTGTTTCTTTCTTCTTCAGCAATTCAGGTGGCCTTGTTCTGATTCAGTGTAGCTTTCTGAGCATGGGTGACCAAACCTGTACACCGTTTGTTCAAAGCCAGTTCCATCAGGCGAGAGGCTTCCAGATACTATTGTTTGTCAAGAGGACTGATTTTCTGAGGTGAATTCTCAGCAAATTCTAAGCAGGTGCCTTTACAAGATATCTAGTTATATAAACCTCAGTCAATCAAGGGGGAATCTTGTCCTAATAACATCGGATGGGTCAATGCAAAAATGTACACCTGAACTGACAACAGGCCTGCTTCGTACATGTGAATTAACCCTCTGAACTGCTGGGAGTAGGAGCTCATGGTATCTTTTATTCACAAGTGTGATAGTGTCTGTGTGTGCATGAAGAGTGCTGACTAAAGCTATGTGTGTTAAAGTGTTTCTAGAATCTCGAGAAAGGCAACTTCTCAAGAATGTAAGTTGATCTTTTGGTCAATCTTCGGTGCACCACTGAAGTATTCCACCAGTGAAGACTTCTGGAGAAGTGGTAAGAAGCAATACTCACAAGTGGCCTCCAGAGCAAGGTACTCCTGTTGAAAAGTTGAGTCATTTAAGATATGATTTTAAGACGTCCTGGATACCTTCTAGAAGTTGCTTCCTAAAGTGTCTGCACATCAGCACCCTACATATTTTAAACTGAGCATGCAAAACCACTGGATGGGCACTCTTAAATGTGGTGGCCTACGTGACTCCCTTGTAGTCACTTGGAAGCGCAATAATAGAAATAGGAACGTAGGACTTCTTATGTCTATTGTGTCCATTAGAACAATACTGCTGAGAGCAACTGAGACCAAAGGCCTGGCCTTCAAAATATATTACTTGAAAGGAAAGCTGCATTTTTTTGGTAAGGTCCAAATGTATTTCATTCAGCTGTGCTGCTACTCCCAAAGTTTGGTTGTAAACAAGTATGACTTTTACCCTGGAAGCCACACATCTGGATTTCAGTGCCTGTAACTGTTTTCATCATCACAAGTAGTTATTGGCTTCATAATGTTCTGCATGTGCAGAAAACAGCTTGTAGGAGGTAACCTGAGCAAACTTTTATAATTGAAGAGCTTAAATGTCTTAAATCACCAGTCTGCAAGGTAGCCACAGCCATTAAATTTCTATATATGACCCTGAAGTCTTAAAATACTGCATTTCTAGCCCTGAAGAGTTCTTCTGATTCAGACTGCTCCCTATCAAATTTCCATGCTGCCTCTTTGCCAGATAGGTCAACTGTCCAAAGCAATGATGTACGGACTACTTTCATGGGAGATGAGTGTGAACTTGAGTAGAGCTCACCTTTAGCTCTAAACCTTTTTGTAGCTATACAACAAAACTTTGAAAATAATTTCTGTATACCATAAATATAGTGATGTAAGCTGTCAGGCTTATCAATACTTAATGGCAAGTGACCAAATAATGTTGCACCTGAATAACTTCTGTTTAAGTAACAGGTCGTTTTCTCACCAGCCAGTTGGCATATCCTGGAGTCTTTGGATTCTGCACCGTATTTGAATTAATATTTAAAATGTTCCAAGCTCCTGATTCCTGCCTCAATCCCCCAAGCCATGACAATGCAGGTGATGACAGAAAAGCCACTGGAACAAATAACCACTGAATTCCAGTATGGACAAGGAACCACAGAAAGGGTCAAGGAACTTGGAGGCTTCCAATTTGTGCACAGTTGATGCAACGCACGGGCCTGGGGGTACATGGCTGCTGACCTAGAAGGGGACATGAACTGCTCACCCTGAGGGACTGGGGATACAGGATACAGAGAAGGCTACATTTGTTTGGAGGAATTGACAGACTTCACTGGTTCTCTGCCTTCCCTTTCACTTCTTGGAAATGTCACCCCAAAAGCCTTTCCAAACTTCCAAGCACAGCGGTAAGGTCCTTAGTGGGGAAGCATAAAGTAGAGTGCTTTTGCTGCAAATTTCCTATTACCTTCTGCTTGTAGATTGTTCCTACTCCTAGTTAAACCTGTGGCTTGCCAACTGACTTCCGAGTAACCACAAGGCTGATTGCCTCATGTTCCCAGTTTCCTTTACACTTGTCTGGGCTGTTCTTTGCTCTCACAAGCAGAAGTATGGACGGAGCCATAGAACAGTCACTTACTAAGCATATCGCTTCAAGCAAACAAATAGGACTGTGCCCCCCAGTCTGAGTAACGCCGTGACATGGCGTTGTTTGAAGCTCTGCAGTCTTCCTGATAGCACAGGAAAGGCTCACTGTAGAGGCCAGAGACAGAGACGTGTGTTCATCTGGCATTCTCCTACCCCTCTTCTAACTGGGTGTCTCTGTTCACCTGTTTCATAAATCATTAATAATGATACTTCTGAATAAATACTTTCTCTGTATATTCTCCAATACTAATGATTCATTTTGCACGGGTCTACACATTTACTCTGTTCTTCAGCAGTCACAGAAATTAACCTCTTGGCCAGATTTTATGAATGATGTTCTACATTTATTACATATGATGACCTTTCTGGATGACATAAAGTCTAGGGATCTCTCTTTGGTCCTAACAGTATTTTTCTTCTCCAGCAAAGAATGTGTTACAGTATATAGATACCTGCAATTTACATCCTTTTTTTTTGAGTTCAAAGTAAGATCATGATTAACGTTTTACACAAAGCAAGGTGGTGAATAGGAGAGTTCATTGACTTTTCAACCCTGGAATCACCCAACACTGGTTTACATTCCAAATAAAATATTTGGGGGGTTTCAGACCAGTCTTTACCAGTGCATATCACAATGTTGCTGTTGGGAAAAACTGAATTTATTAAGGCAGTATATTTTAAAAATTGGCTCCAGCACCACACAGCTGGCAACAGGGAAAAAATAATCTAAGGCAGCATGTAAAAAACTTGTTCTCTAGTTAGACTGTGAATTTTCCAATAACTGCCTCCAATAGACCACCCTATGACACTGATTGCAAACATATAAAGCCTGATTGTTTTGAAAGTCATATAAATAAAATGTAGATGTTGAAATGCCAACCTCCCACTATTTGCCTCCAACCTTTTCTTTTCATCTTTTACTGCTTATTTTGCTTTTTTCTTTCCTGGTGTCCTTCCTCTCACTGATGTTTTCTTTCAGTACCACCCCCTCTTTTCCTCTCAGAACAGAGTGGAGCATTTAGCTTTAATGGCAGAATAGGAGCCAGCAGACAATGAAAAGAAGCTGGGGCAGCAAATTCTGTGAGCACACCAAGCACCCAAGAAAAGAACAGTGCAGGTTATTTGTGTGCCCACACAAATTCATGTGCCAAATGCCTGGTACCAACCTGAGCAAACCAGCATATCACTGGAATACCAATTCTCTGAAGTGTGAGCCTAGCCCAGTATGTTTTGTTGTGTTATTTGTAGTCATTAGTTTTACAACTTGGAAATTTTCTGAGATCTTCTTTTAATCTTCCACCTCCTATGCCTTTGTATTAAATCAACAGAGCTTAAATACGTGGGGAAGTACAAAACACAACTGGGATGAAGAGGCTTTCAGACTCTGGCAATATGTTTGCTAATTTTGAGCGTGATGATGTAGAAGTGCTTCAAACAGTACACGAAAATAACTGAAAGATCTCCTACCTGAAGGCACACTCCAACTGCTCTCTGCTCTCACTGAAGGTCCCCAGACAAAACCCTGGAGAGAGCCCCAACTTCATACTGACGGCCAGGAGAAAAGATGTGTGAACAACTGAGTAGATTTTTGAGGCATCTCTTCTTGTCATCTTGGAAAACAGAGTATTTGTGCAAGAACAGGCTACTTATTACTCGAAAAAGAACTAACTATGAAAACAGGAAAAATAGTAGGCTAATTAACCTAGATGACTGAAAGACCCAGGAAGCTCTCACTTGTCTTGAACTAAAATACATCAAATACTTCCTATTTTGTAACATATTTTTTGAAAAGGATGTTTACTAAAAGACAATGTTTGTGTGAGGACAAGGCTGTTTTAACAAATATACTTGTAAAACAGCTGCAGCTCAACTATAGCTGTATGGCATGAATATGCAGCGAAACAAAATCTGTAAAATTCAGTGCTGTGGGTCATAGTTCTGACAAGCCACTGATCTCACACTTCACAAGGTGAGCTGCAGTACAAGGTGAAATGGGATGCTTCTCAAGGGTTTCTGCAGTTCCTGCTCCCAGTCCTCTCTCCTTTAAATTATCTTCTGAGAAAAAAAAAAAAAAAAAAAAAAAGAAGCATGTGTCAGTATGGATACAGGCTTCTGTTTTTCATTTGTCATTTCTTTGGCTATTTGGGTTGGTGACAAGTTTGTGTCTTGCTGGAGCTAATTAGTGTGAAATGTACTACAAATTTATCATTGTTTTCCTTACTAAAAAATAAGCAAATCGATAAGAGTTCCACAAAACCATAACTTTCCCTTTGAGAACAGAAAGGATGCATTTTTAAAATGTTTTTATTGCCTTATTACTGCATGTTACAAAAAAATGTCTTCCACAGCAAAACACACTAAGAACAGGGATGAGCGCAAACCAAACAAATCAGAAAGTAAATTATCTATGAAACCACTTATTTCAATGCAGCAGGAAACAGTAATACAAGTTGAGAAACAGTTTTTCCTCCTCTGGAGAATGCAGAACTTTTTTTTCTTTACTGAGGCTCCCAACATAGATGAAAATACTGCACTACACTGAGATTTCAATTCTTTTCCTCCCAGAGAGACCTAAACGTCCCCAACAAGACGTTTATTTTGTTGGAGTAGAAGAAAAACCTAGTCCTGAGAAAGGACAACCTACTCTGTCTTGCCAAGGCAATAACTATGCAATGTGCTCTCTTCAGATGCTGGACAGAAAGATAAAGAGAACTTGGAACATAAAAATATGGATTCCACACGACAACTACTTCTCAGATCTCTATTCCAATCAGTTTGTACTGACTTCCAAAAGCATAAGTTCTCCAGGAACACAGCTAGCATGAGCACTTTACTCAGATGCTTCAACAGAACTCCACAAATCTTGTTTTCTGTCAGGCTTTCTTCTCTTAGCACCTCTACAGAAAGGGATTCTGAAGTGATGACCCATACCTTTATCTTTTGGTCCACACTAACATATCAAACAATACATTCCCGTACCTCCAATGCCAAATAAAACCAAACTGCAGCTAAAGTTACCCAAATTCCTGGATGTGCAGCCATCCCTCTGGCACCACAGTTCATCTGATGTCAGCACTCGTTTATAGGCTGAAGTGTTTATAGGCTGGCAAATTCTCATTGTGAGGACCTGCTCACAGGCTAGTATAGCTTACAAAGTGAAAAATCATCTTTCTTCCCTGTTCAGTATTTCTTTTAATGTTACGAGATAATTGACATTTCTTCCCTCTCTCTGCTCTCATTTATTAAGGTGATGATGCTTCTGAAGTACTTCATAAATTCCATCCGAACATCTTCAGGATCTTCTTCTAAGTTGGAATGTATAAGTTTTAGCTTGTTCAGTGGGTAAGCTTTGAAGGTAAATAAAAAATAATTAGGTATATTCCTTTTATAAAAGAAATATTCACAGTCAAGGTCATGGGGCAGCTCATTTTGCAGTCAGTTGGAATTGAGTAGTATCTAGTATTTGATACCCCAGATAACATATAATACATGAAGAAGCAATGCATCATAGCTTGTGAGCATTATGAACAAGCACAATTTGTTTAATCTTGCACTCGTACAAGATTAAATTCTTCAAACATTATCATTAAAGCTTAAAGTACTGGTTTGGGTCTCGCATTCAGTTAGGCAGAATCAAATAATTCAGAACTGAATTGCAGTTTTACTACTGAAGTGATATGACATTCTCTGATTACTTCAAAATTATAGAACAATGTTGTTAGATTAATGTATTAATATATTATATATATTATATATATTATATATGTACTTGTTTGAACACTGGAAACGGTTTCCCAGAGGGACTGTGTGTTCTCATTTGTATAAACTGTGACAAATAATTTTGCAGTATATAAGGTACCTATTACTAATTTTAAGAGGAAGATCATTAGCCTTTTATTTCAAAGGACTCCTGTTCTCTTGATCGATGACAAGCAGGCTTAAATGGCCTCAAAAGTGTCAGTTAACAAAAGAAAAAATTCAGTGTAGGAAACAAACTACTAGTGATGGTGAAATATGGCAGGAGTTCCAGTTCCTGGCTCAGCTGGATATTCACTGTGTGATCTTAGAGAATTCAGTCAAACTTTTCTTGCCTGTACTTTCCCTTCTCTGAAATAGGAATATTGCTTACCTTCTAGATGACCTCTGAAATTCATTATTCCTGTTTTTGCAAAGCACTCCAGTATTCTTTGATTGGCAGATTTAAATGAAAAATGCAAGCCATAAGGTATGAACAATTTCAAAGATACAAAGATGAATAAAAACCTCTGAGTTACAGATCAAATTTTCCATCTTCTTACCCAAGGACAGATTTTCTGTGTCCCCTGCACTACCTGGCTTGTGATGTGCAACTAGGAGACACTGACTATCAAGCAGTGGCTGCTGCTGCACGAAACAGGAGTACCACATTTCAATTTCTTTCAGGTGACTGGGCAGCTCAGGATTGAAGATTATTATTACACCATGAGAGTCCTTTGTCAGAGCCGGCCAGCATGTTTCAAACCTTGAAAAACAAGCACATGGAAAATGGTAAGATCGATAGCTGGAAAACAGAAACATGAACTCAAACTTAAGCCTCTTCTTCTTCTTAAGTTTTCTTCTTCCTTCTTCAAGAACATATTTCAGTCCTTTTTTCTTTATTATAACATTAGTAATCTTGCCAGTGATCTATCATATTCCAAATATTTTGGCTTTCCCATTATGTTAGTTGATTCCATGATTTGCTGACAATGTAGTATTTGGTAAAATACTTATTTAAACCTTTCCCCTAAAAATGGATCTGTCCAGTTCTCAATTGTGTCTTTTGGAAATTAAGGCCTTGGTCATATATATACATTGTTTGAAGTCCACTCACATAATAACTTGAAGGAGATAAAGATGATTACAGAATGGGCCTCTGTCTCCTGTACCTGTAACTGCATTCTAGGAGCTGTGGACCTTACTGTTATACTCAGTCGTTATCCAAAACAAAGTTCAGTGTCAGCTGGGATCATGGCAGAGAGTATCTAGTATCAGATGCTTCATAGCAGAAAGCTATTGAAAAAGATAATGGGGTAAAGAATATTCCTCATCTTAAAAAGACCATTGGTTTTAGGTGGTAAGTATCAATATTTTGTGTAAGCAGAACTATTATGAATTAAGTAACCCGGAAGAAATAGCAACGATGCTGGCTTACTTTTGATCACCACTGCAATCCCACAACTCAAATCGACACCCAGCTCCCTTACTGTTACCAT